GTATATTGTTAACTGTGTTGAGTTGGTTCCGACTCAGAGTAACCTGACGCACAACAGAACAAAACAGTGCCCCATCCTGCGCCAACCTCACAATTGTTGCTGTGTTTGAGCCACTGTTGCAGCTACTATGTCAATCCATTCTGTGGAAGGTCTCCTTCTTTTCATGGACCCTCCACTTTACTAATTATGATGGTCTGATCACTCCTAATAACATGCCCAAAGTACATAAAAAGGCTTGCATTCCTTGTTTGTAAGGGACATTCTGGCTGTACTTCTTGTACAATTGTACATGTTTTGTATACATAAAATTTTGTTTCATCTATAATCAGAGTTCTCTGTTCCCCTGCTTAGGTCACATTTCCGGCCTGCCTCCCCTCAACCACTGGGCAGCAAGAAGCTGCCCCTGAAAGCAGGACCTGGCCTGATATTCACAGGTGGGCTCGGGCAGACTCCTGCTGAATAGAAACAATGCCACTGCACATCAACATCACACAAGTTAACCCTATGACTGTGAGGGGCCAGGATCCAGACAAGACCTCCTTGTCATCAAGTATGGTGCCATCTTCTAATGTTTCAAACCACAGAGATCACTAGCTGCTGTTGAGGCTGCTGTCCAGTTGGGCCCTGACTCATGGTGATCCCGTGCACAATGGAAAGCAATACTACTGAGTCCTGCACAGGCCCCATGATTGCTCATGGATCAGACCGTTGCAGTGCAGAGGGCTGTCAATGCCTGATTTTCAGAAACAGATGGCCAGGCTTTTCTTCCCAGTCCATCTTAGTCTGAAAACTCAGCTAAAATCTGTTCAAAATCATAGCAGCACATGATCACCATCACAGCAGCACACAGGCCTCTCCTGACAGATACCCGGGTGATGCATTGGCTGAGAATCAAACCCAGGTCTCCTTCACAGAAGTGAGGATTCTGCCATGGAACCCCCAATGTTCCTGGAATCCTGTCTGTATCCTGTTTAAACTACAACAATGACTAATCTCCCTTTCCTGGCTAATGCAACAACTGTTGTTGTTATTAAGTGCTGCTGAGTCTGTTATGATGCACAGCAACCCCGTATAGGGCTTTTGAGGAGCAGCTGGTAAGTCTGAATCACCGACCTTGCAGTTCAAACCTACCTTGAGGCTGAGTGCTTATCCTGTGGCGCCACACCAGGACGATCTCTTTCTTAATTACGGCCTCGGAGGCTCTTTGTTCCTCCCACCTTCTATGTAAAAAGTACTCAGATACCCAATCGTAAAAATGGCCTCTGCTTCCTAACAGCACACAGTTTGGAGTAAAGCCCTGCTTCCTTGAACCGTTCTTGACATCACCTAGCACAGCTGTCCTATAATACCTTATGTTGTTGTTGTTATTCAGGGCTGTTGAGTCAGTTCTGAATCACAGAGATCCTGTATAGGGTTTCTGAGGAGTAGCTGATGAACCACCAACCTTGCTGTTAGTAGTCCAGTGCTTATCCTATAGTACTACATCAGGACTCCATAGTAAGATATCAGTCCTTCCAATTATCCTCTTACTGAGCTGCCCCCTGGTTCTCTATGGTGTACCATCTTCCTTGTTACAACAAGTCAAGCAACCCAACTTCTATGCATACGTGAAAACACTTATATTGTTTTGCAATTTGCTTTTATCACTTCATACGAGAGTGTATCTTGGGTATTTTTTCACTCCAGGACATTGAGGTCTGTCACATACTTTTTATTTAAAAACTTTTTATTGTGAATTGAGTGAAGGTTTACAGAGCAGATCATCAGTTTCACATGCAACAAATTATTTACTTTGCTTCATTATATGGTTGGAATCCCTTCATATACCAACAGCCAACAACATTTACCTCCATTCACTTTAAACACTGCATTCCTCCCTGTGTCTCCCACCCCCTCCACCTTTCCTCTGCCAACCTCCCTCTGGTTGTACATTGCTTGCCCCATCACCCATGCCCATATACTTTTTAATGGTGGCAAATAATTCAGAAGAAGCTTAAACTAGAGTTGGGTGTAAGTCTTTTGGTACATTTTTCATCTGTTCTCCCCTTACCTTTGTCTCCTGTTTTAGTGTAAATTTTAGGGATCTTGGATGTCTTCGAGGTCAGTTGTGACCTAATGAGAAATAAATGTCAGGGGGTGGTATGGCTATCTGCAGATAACAGAGAACAAAACATGGTTTGTGCATACAATAGAATATTCAGTGATAGAAATGATCCTCTCTTCTATGCTAAAACATGGTTAAACCTTTGTGCTGAGTGAAAGAAGTCACACAAAAAGGTGATTAATGTGTGATCTCACTTACATGTTGTTGCTGCTAAGTGTCGAGTCAATTCTGACTCATAGTGACCCTGCATTGTACAAGCAGAACTAAACATTGTGTCAATCCATCTCATTCAGGGTCTTCCTCTTTTTTGCTGACCCTCTGCTTTATCAAACATGATGTTCTTTTCCAGTCCCTGGAGAAGGAGTATCATCCTTGGAAAAGTGGAGGGTCAACTAAAACAGAGGAAAACTACCCAAAGTGAAGGAGTGGTACAGTGGCAGTAACGATGGGCTCAAACATAACAAGTTTGTGAGGATGGCACAGGGCAGGTAGGATTTCATTTTGTTGTGCATAAGGTGGCTATGAGTTGGAACAGACTTGGGGTTACCTAACATGATGCATACCATTTCCTCATTAGTTTGTGGTGCTTTTCAGGTTCTGAGGTCCAGAAACAGTGTTAGTTCCAAGGAGTATGATGAAAGCCATCCTTAGATCATCATGTTGGTGTCATAAACTAAATTCTTTGGGAGATGTCAGAGTCCGAATTGAGGACCCACATATGTTTGTTTGGTCCTGCAAGATGGCTTAGGATTTGTGTGAAAAAACCTGGGCCCGCGTTGCCATGGTGACGTCAAGTTCTTTCAAGGGGCAGCTGGGACGATGACCTCACGCTTTGAGACCTACCATTTGGGGCGATAACGCCCCATCCCAGCAAGTATCCGAGTTACCCTCCCAGTGAGGCACTCACCTAGTCTCATTTTCCACGCTCTGAGGGCCGCGGCTCTGGAAACCGACACACAGTATCTTGCCAGCGCCCACGCACCTGCGCAGGGCAAGGCGACTGCCCAGGCCCCACACAGCCATCACAAGTCGAGGGCTGACCCCACCAGGTTCCCGTTCAGGCCCCCCCAGAGGGGTGTCACTCCACTCAGTCGCCGTTTTTCATTGGTCTGTAGTTCTCGCCCCAGGGCGGGGCACCCCCAGAAACTTTTTTCCATTGGTTTACGTGAAAAAGTTGGGTGGGGAAAACCATGACGTTCGGCTGCAACACCTATTGGCTAATGCTCCATCCAATCGGTAAAGACCTCCCGAATAGCGCGTTCTGATTGGCTGGATGGAGGGAAAACACCCTTGCCTCTGGGACACTGACTCTCAGTGGTGGTGGAGTCGATGAGTAGCTCCGTATCCTGAGCTGAGGTTCCGCGGCGATTTCAGGTGAGAACCCGGGCTAGCGGGGCCGGGCGGCGCGAGGTTTCATTGCAAGATCCAGTACCCCCCAAGGCCGACGCCCAGCTTCTGGGGCTCAGTGGCCCCAACTCTGAGAATTCCTCCTGGGGGACTCGGCGACATCGAGTCTGGCAGACGTTGATTTCGAGAGTTGGGCATACCTCGCTGAGAAAGGGGTTGTCTGTAGTACTTATCCGAGTGAGCGACTGAGGTTAATATTAAGGCAAGCTCCTTAAAACTTCAAACGGAGGATCGTTTTGCATTACTTATGAAAACGTTGAGTGCGTGCACCCAATGACCCAGCAGCACCTGTTTTGCGAAATGTTGGCTTAGGTGTTCCAAAAGGGATGTATCAGGTATTTTCTGAAGCCCTTGTTTTCAACTGTGACCAGTCCTTTCTGGTCCATGGTTTCATCACATTTCTCCCTTCAGGAGTAATAGTATTAAGAAATGGAACCAAGAATAGAGCCAGTAATAATTAGCTCTCCGTAGGTCGGCGGTTCAAGCTCACCAGCTGCTCCTCGGAAACCCTTTACAGGGTTGCTATGGGTCGTGATCGACTCGACGGCACTTAACAACAGTCAAGTGATTGCAATATGCCAGACGTTAGTTCTCTTTTTTTTTTTTGCGGGGGGTGGGGGAGGAATTTTTTTTAAATCTCAACAACCCACTGAAGAAAGTACAGGTTGTTTCCTTGTAGCACACGGGGAGAAACTTGAGGTTCACAACCATTAAGGGAGTTACTGGAAAGAGAACTGGGATTTGAACTCAGATCTTTCAGCTGCATCCAGTGGGAGTGCTGGGTGGTATAATGGTGGCCTTGAGGCAAGCCTTATCTGAGATCCCTTTGTGCTCTTTGGGAAGTCTGGAGGTCTTTGTTCATCTCTCTGACTTTTCCTCTCAGGATTCCTAGGAGCCATGCTGTCAGAGACTTTGCTGGTATCTGCTCCTGGGAAAGTCATCCTGCACGGAGAACATGCTGTGGTCCATGGCAAGGTAACCAGCCCCCAGCCCCTCTAAGGGCTGAGCCCTAGGCCTCCTTGGCTTTAATCTCACAAGCTTACAGGAGCCTCAACGCATAGCCTGGGAGCCTTCTAGTGGGGATGTCAGCTCTTCCCAACCAGACAAGTGGAAAGGCAGGCCTTATGCACACAGAACCGAGCTGTGATGGTGCTATAGGGCAAGGTCAGCAGTTCAAACCCACCAGCTGCTTTGAGGGAGAAAGGTGAGGCTGTTTGTTTCCATAAAGATTTACAGCCTAGGAAATCCTTTATAGGATTGCTATGAGTCAGAATTGACTTGATGACATTGAGTTTGATTTTGAATTTGACTAAGCACTGAACTGCTAACCACAAGGTAGGAGGTTCAAATCCATCAGCTGTTCCACAGAAGGAAGGTGAGGCTGCCTGCTCCCCTGAAAATTTACAATTTCAGAAACCCTATACAGGGGTAACGTGAGTCAGAATCGATTAGATGCTGGTGAGTTTGGTTTTGAGTTTGCCTAAGCAATGGACTGTTAACTGCAAGGTTGGCAGTTCAAACCCACCAGCCACTTAGTGGGGGAATGATGAGGCTGCCTGCTCCTGTAAAGATTTACAGCCTCAGAAACCCTATACAGGATTGCTATGAGTTGGAATTGACTCGTTGGTGATATGCATGATTGGATGAGCACAGAAGGGCTTCACTAAAAACGTCAAAAGACCAGGAAGCAGGCTTGCAGAATGTGTCCTTTGGTTGTTTAAATGATTATATATTCCTGAGTGTTTTTGTATCCATCAAAAAAACCCCAAAACAAGGTTGTGGAACAATATACACTTGTCTGGGGATATTCATCAGCTACACGCTCAAATTTACGATATAAGTAATTCTCAAAGTGAACACTGCGTGGCTACCCATTTGCTACCCATGCTAGAGA